TACCTGGCCTCACCAGAAACGATCTGTACCCACGGGAGTGGCTAGCAGCTCGGGTCTCCTGGGGCACAGGCCACCCCTGGGAGCAGAGCCAGCCTTCTGGGCCCTCCCCTAGACCTGAGGCAACAGCCCTGTGATGCAGATAGGGGCAAGAACTTGTGGCCCCACTTTCCAAGACAGGAAGCTGAAGCTTGAAGAGACATGTAACTTGCCTGAGGGTGAAGTGGGATCAGGACTCCCATGGGCTCTCCCACACAGGCCACAGAGGCAAAGCCAGTGGCATTAGGGTCCCATTTTGGACACAGGCATGTGTAGATGCAAAACCGTTTACAGCGAAAGGAGCGTTCTGGGGGCAGCCTCTGCAATGCTTTTGGGATCCCTTGTCCAGTTGTGGGACAGCTTTCAGCCTGGCCCCCACCCTTGACCGCATGTGTTATCTGATGCCAGTCATGGAGGAGGAGATTTGGGCTGCCTTTTTATGGCACACACATACATCTATGTGTGGATGAGTACCTGGATGAGAGCATCCCCGAGTGGGTGCCGGAAGCCCGCAAGCTGGTCCAGGAAGAGAGGCTGCCCTCCACCCTGCCCTCAACCTCACCCTTGCCCCCTCAGATCCTCCGGAACAATGTGATGGTACGTGTAGGGGGCGGCTGGGACACACTGGGCCATTATCTGGACAAACATGACCCCTGCCGCTGCACATCCCTCTGTGAGTCCCCTGAGGGTCCTCTCCCTGCGGGGTTGGTTGAAAAGGCGTAACTCTGGGTTGGGAGGCTGGAGGCAGAGGTGGGAGGTATGTCTGATCTCCAGGGGGAAGAGGTATGTGGGGAGGCTGGAGGAAGGAAGGCAGTAGTTGGGCACAGTACAGTACTAAATGTTACCACAAGATGGTGTGCAAGACACGCAGAAGCAGCATTTGGCCAGGGTGCATTTTGGCAGAGCTTAGGTCTGGCTCTGGGATCCACAGTGTTGGTACCAAGTGTGACTTGGAAGGTCTTTAGTTCTTCCATAATCTCCATCAATGCCTCCAGCCACTCCAAATAAGCACATGCTCTAAGGGAAAGTTGTGTACCTGCACTACAAACATAGCTTTAAACAAATCCCCCAGCTGGGTCCCCAAGCCCCTCCTGTAAAGAAACTCTGGTGTTGCCACTGTAGGTCCCACTGTTTTTAGTGTGGGGTGTGGGGCATGGGACCACTGGGGGAGGAACAATGGGCCCCATCAGCAGGAATTGAACTCTTCTCTCCTTTCCTTTCTCCGGGGCACTGTTGGTAGCACACAAGCCAGGCAACTTCCTGAAGCCCCCGGCCCCACCAGTGCAGCATGAAGTAAGGGTCCAGGATGGACCCTTACAGACCCAGCCTACGATGACCATCAGCCGCTCACAGAGCCCGCCACCCCCCGTGGACTGGAAGACATATGCCTCTTCAGGCCGAAGGCTGAGGTCCCCCACCCCATCCTCCTCCAGACCCCGCAGGGAACGGGGAGCAGGGACGGGGGCGTCCAGAGAGATGGCACCATTCCTGAGGTATGGGGAAGAGATAGGGAAGGGGCTCTTTTTCCTTTGGAGTGCACATTTTCAGAGGCCACCACACTCCAAGATAAGAGGAGCAGATCCCCAGCAGTGACTCTATCCTGAGACTACAGGTGTTTGGAACCAGAAGCACACCCAGTACCTTTGGGATAATGTGGTTACTTCATATGCCTTCCCATTTCACAGATGAGGCTCAGAAATGGAACAGACTTACTCAAGGTTTCCTACCATTTCACGGTAGAGCACAGGCTAAGACAACCCATGCACTCCCCTCTGTCTCTCCACTGCCCTGCAACTGGTCTGGGGCCATCCCTCGAAGGATCTGAAGTCACCTCAGGCCAGGATCAGGCTTCCTTCTATCTGCTACACAGGGAACAAGGGCACATAGACTTAGGCAGTGACTGTCATAAGGAGAATTTCAAGGCAGTCAGGGCGGAGAGGGAGCATAGGTTTCATTCAGCGTGAAGTCGAGCCCCCTGGGTGTTCTCACTGGGGAAAGACCGTCACTTCCCCGAGCCAGGGACCACACTAGATGACCCTGCCGGCCTGAGGAGTCTCCCTTTGCAGCCTTGTGATTCTCCCTTTCAGGTGCCAGGAGAGATCTCTCACCCCATCTTGGAGGCAGCCGACAGCTGGGGACAGCCCACCCAGCCCCCAGTCCTCGTCTTCCCAAAAGGGCCGAGACCCACAGTGCACCTTGTCAGGAAAGAGGGAGGATAGATACCCCCCTGGACTCCCCAGGGGAAGGATTCCCACATCTTGGGTTCATGAAAAAACAGACAGCCAGGGAACTGATGCCCGGAACCCCACCCCACAAAGACTCCGAGACATTGAGGCCACCACCAAAGGGATATCAGCAAGAGGACTATCTCCCCTGCCTCGTTCCTGTAGCCCAGCCGAGCAACTGGGCCTCAGGCTGCCACTCCAGGATAAGGCCAAGGGTGCGTTCTTCCAGTTCAGGGAGCCAGAGTCTGTCTGTTCTCCAACCCCTGTCCAAGACCTAACCAAGATCCCCATCCGGCTGCCCTCTCCTCACCCCCCGACACCAGGAAGGAGCTTTCCTGGTGCTACAAGTAGAAGTCCCGGGACAGAACTTGGGAGAGACCCCATTCCACTAAGGGCCGTCACTGCGGACCTGGCTGGGTCCACGCATGGGGACTGCTCTGTGAAAGTGAGGCAGGAGGACCAGCAGTTGGACATCCAGCTCATGGCAGAGGCCAAAGTGTCCCGGGACCTGGGCCCACAGGAGCAGGAGGGGCAGTACACACCTCTGCCCCTGGGCAGGAACAAGGAGCAAGCCATCTACTGTAGCCTTGAAGAGGAGATTTTGGGCAACATGAAGCTGCTAGAAGTCGGGAGTGCCTGTCTGCAGGGCACAAGGTCTGGGGTCATCCCTCGCAGTGGGGTCTATGTCCCCAGCCTGGGTGGGCGGTGGCCTGAGCCTGGGGGTCCTTATGACAAAGTCATCCAAGAACTGGCTCAGGGCCCCCCACCCCTCCTTAAAGTGGACCTGGAAGCCTGGAAGGCAGCCCCGACTGGCTCCCCTAAGCCAGCTGTTACTCCAGGACCGGGAAGCCTCAAAGGGAAGTTGGGAGCCATACAGAGTGGGCCCAGCACAAAGGCAAGCCTGAGTGCCAAGGGCACCCACATGAGGAAGGTCCCACCTCAGGGAGGGCAGGACTGCTCGGCCCCTACTGCGTCTGCCAGCCCGGAGGCCCCCACACCTTTGCCCTTGGACCCCAACTCTGACAAAGTCAAGGCATGTCTAAGTGAGGGCAGGAGAACTCTCCGGAAGCCCAAGAAGGTCCCGTCCATCTACAAGCTGAAGCTGAGACCCAGGATCCGGCCCCGAAGAGACCACAGGCCTGAGAAGCAGCCTTCACGAATCCCCAAGCCACTGGCCTATGTCTGCCTGGGTCCAGCCAGGCCGCCCCGCAGGGACAGACTGTTGAGAGCTGTGCTGGGCAGCAAGGGAGGGGAGGCATCCCGGGTGGACGGAGCTTCAGTAGGTGAGGAGGAGGAGGAAGGAAAGGAGAAAGAGCCAGCCGCTTTATTGGAGAGCAGGCCCCAGACTCCAGAGGACCTGCGACCTCACTGGCTTGATCAAGCTCCACTTCCACCTGAGGAGGAGTCCTGGGTCTGAGGCACATGAACGTGTCGGGGAGGAGGGAAGTAAAAAGAATGGCCATGTATACACTGGATTCACAGCTGCGGGAACAGAAGGGACGTTCCCTCATCTCCACACAGGGCCTTGGGCAGGAGTGGGTCAGAAGACAAATATAGACTCCATCTGCTCATCTGAGCAAAGGGGCAACCCACTGCTCTCACTCCAACTCCAGAGGTAGGCCGGGGCAGTGAGACCATCCTATATCTCATGACTCTCCCTCAGAACATCTCCCCACACTCCTGGCCTCTGGCCCCTGGCCATGCCCACCTGTTTCCATAACTCCCCTAAGTTATTAAACGCATGTGATTCTACCTTGAGCCCCAGCTTCTTTTTTTTAAAGTTTAGAAACAGAGTCTTGCTCTGTCACCCAGGCTGGAGTGCAGTGGCACTCTCATGGTTCACTGCAGCCTCGAACTCCCAGGCTTCAAGTGATCCTCTCACCTCAGTTTCCCAAGTAGTTGGGACTACAGGTAGGTGCCATGACACCTGGTTAATTTTATTTTATTTTATTTTTTAGAGATGGGGCCTTACTATGTTGTCCAGGCTGACCTCAAGCGATCTTCCTGCCTTGGCTTCCCAAAGCACTGGGATTAAAGATGTGAACAACTGAGCCCACCTCCCCCTTCCCCCTAGCTTCTTGAGCCCCTCTAGGACTGTGGTGGTGCGGGGAGGTATAGCTTCAGATGTTATCCCACTGCAGGAGATGGGGACTAGGAGGAAGGAGTTGGTGGTGAGAGAGGCTTCCTCTTTTGAGGCTCAGCCAATCTTTACAGGCAGCCCCATCTTTCCTGGAAGTGGCTGGTGGGTCAGCACCACGGACAGAGACATCCTGCCCTCAACACACACGCTCCTGGAAGGCACCCTTGCCCAAGACTTCAAAGCTTTGCTCTGGAGTTTGGGTCCTGAGATCACTCAGGGACAAGACGGGTGGCTGAAAGTGTTCCTAACACATCTACATCCAAGAAGTTATGACTGAGAGGCTGCAAAGTCTCAGCCTTGAGTGGGAAGGACGAGACGCAGACGGAGAAGCTGGGATTCAGTCCCATTATGGAAATTTTCCAGACTGGCAGGGGAGAAGTTCTGCTTCCCTTCTGAATGGTTTGAATTAGTTGGAGGGTTTGGGGTTAGGTGGAAAGGTGATACGTCCCAAACTCTTCACCAGTGGTCTCCCTGTTGACCTGGGCTTTGGGACTGGGGGCCACCTCACCACCTTCACGCTCCTTCCACACGGAGCTCAGCAGGCAAGCCCTGTGGGGATCCCTCCCCTCCTACCATGAGGAACGGAGCCAACACCTTGGTACAGAAACGAGGGAAAACACTCCCTGATTTTTAATCTGACTTCGGATAACAGCTCAATGGGCGTCACACACACTTCCAGACCCTGTGGTGGGAAACCCTGGGAGGGGGTGGGAGGGGAAGGACAGAGACTCAGAATGGGGGTGGAGGGACCTGAAATCCAAGACCTGGGTTGAAGTGGAGGCGGGAGGGGGCCTGTCAGAGGATACATTCCAATGGCTCCCACAGGGGAGCAGCCAGAGGCCTGGGCCCCCTCCCCCACCTCAGGTGCCTCAGAGTTGGGGGTGATGGGGCATGTGAGATGCTGCCATCCCTCATCCCCTCCCTCTGGTGAACCAGGAGACAGGGGTGCAGGAGACTAAGGGGCAGGCCCTCTTTGTTACCCTCCCAGCCACTCTAAGGTGTGGGGAAGGGGAGCCACCTCCTCTGTGTCAGAGGGAGGCTCACAGAGGGCAGGTCACTTGCCCGAAGTCCTGCAGCACAGCAGGGACTAGAACGCAGGAACACTAGACTGCCCAAGGTCAAGGCGGTTGCTGTGGGGCTGTGCTACCCCCACTTGGTGGACAGAGTGGGAATCAGCTGGGGAAGCAGAATCATAGATTCTCCCTACAATGGATGTTGGTGATAAATTCCCCACCCACGACCCTTCCCCCAGACTCCGCTCCATCACCACTCTGGGCTACCTGATTTCCTAGTCTATATGCTGCAGCCTTGGCTAAGTTGGCCAAAGTGGAGTTGTCCTCTCTGCCCGTCTTATAACAAGGGACCCTGCTGTCCTCCCACCAGGCCAGGGCTGAGGGCTCAGCCTCAAGGACAGCTTTCTTTGGTCAGGGGGCAGGGGACAGGGCACCACTTCTCCCTCCCTCCAATTCCCGCATCAATCCCTTATGCCATTCCTAGAATCTTCACTATTATTGTTATTTCTAAATCGGTACAAAACTGACAGTGATCAGCTCCGGTGACGAGAGGTAGAAACCCGGCCAGGCAGCCGGAGAAAATGGGGCGGAGTGAGTTAGGGCATAGGGCTGACTGGTGTTGGGACAAGAGGGTGTCAGATCCTGAGGGCCTCCATCTGGGGCCCGCGGGGGGAAGATGCAGGTGTGTCTCCCCCAAGCACAGGGGTCCCCACCATTCTTTCCCTGGCTCTGTTCTTCCCCAGATTAATCAGGATAGTCTGAGATCTGAGGCAGGCAGAGTCTGGGGTAGTCAGATGGGGTTGAGACGGGGCAACAGAATCTTCACTGGGACAACCTGACCCCCTTCTGGGCACCATCCTGCCCACGACCAGACCCCAGAACCTAACATTCCCCAGTCTGACAGACCAGATTGCAGTATGCAGGAGGTAATAGAAGACTGGAACCTGGCATCATGGAAAAGAAACTATCCTTTGGGGGATTCCCTTTCCACACTCTGTCCAAAAAAAAAAAAAAAAAAAAAGTTTTAACCCAGGGGGTGATCTGGCTTTGGGGTCAGGAAGAGTGAGGGGCACCTGGCAGGGACGGACCATCGAGTTAAGGCTGGAAGGTAGGTTGTTGTGTCTCTGGGGGCTGCTGGGCGGGGAGGTCTCCCTGGAAGCCGGAGAGCTCAACCTTCTCCCCTCACTGATCTGGGACCTCAGCCCCCGGACCCCTTGATGGTGGTCTTTGGGCCACCCGCATCTCTGCCCTGTGCCGGTGGTGCTGACAGTCAGAAGGCCTGGCCTCACAAAGAAGCTGCCAGGATCTGCGACAAGGGGATGGACGAAATGAGAGCCCTGTGAGCGGAGCTAGGGGGGACTGGAGGGTGGGTGAGACAGGTAAGGACCAACAGACGCTTGGGTGGGTGGACATGGGAAAGGAAGACACCCGGCAAAGACAGACACATTCTGGAAAAGACAGTTGGGGGCCCGGCCAAGGCGGCACCTCGCCACCCCCACCCTCCATTGCACGCTCACCCCCATCCCAAAAGGCTGTGGCACCCCCGCGGGTCGGGCCGGGCACTGCACTAAATACAGCACTGAAGACGGCTGTCCCAGGAAGCCACGGGGGCAAGGGGCAGGGCTTAGCAGTTACTGGGGGCTCCCTCTCGCGCTTTGCTTCTCACCGGGAGATGCGTGGCTGCAGGGGCCTCAGGCCGGAACCGTCACAGTTCCATTTCCCGCCCGCTCCCCGCCCCAGCCCCGCAGTACAGCCCCACCCTCCGCCCGGCCAGTGCCGGTGCAGCCCGCGGGGCGCGCAGGTGTCACATGATGGCGCAGCGGTTTCGGCGCAGCGCGCCCTGGAAGCGCAGGGCAGCGTGCACGTGCTTGCACCGGGCGCAGCCGACGCTCTTGAGCAGCTCGCTAAAGAGCAGCAGGATGTGCCAGTTGTACTTGGCCGAGCATTCCACGTAGCCGCACTTCCACGTCTTGCGCACCAGGTGCGACACGTTCCAGCGCGGGATCACGCGTCCACGCTGCAGGTCCCGCTTGTTGCCCACGATGATGATGGGCGTCTCTGAGGTGCCGATCACCCTGCGGGGCGAGGCAGGAAGCTCAGAACTCTGTCAGTCTCACAACCGCTGTACTCCCAGCAGGGCAGGCTGTGCCTGGCCAATACTACCACCACCGTATGTTCTGCTCCAGGTGCAGCCCTAAGCCCTGGAGGTGTTATAGTCTCTGATCAGCACAACTGATCTAAAAGATGGGTTCTACTGTTATCCCCATTTTACAGATGAGGACATAGGCTTAAATGTTTACTGGCTTCAAGTCATGCAGCTGAGTGGCCCTGGAAGTCTTGTTCCAGAAGTCCCAGTTCTTAACTACTGCACTACTCTAGCCACCCCCACAGCCAGGGTCCCAACATGAGTTAACAGAAATGGGGACAGCACAATGTATGCATGTTTGAGTGTATGTGTGGGAATCTTAGAACACATATACCTCTGGCTCTGTCCCTATACTGTCCCCTTTTCACAGGGACTGGCTAGCACTGGGTCATCCACAAAAGTGGCAATGGACTGTGTTCCAGCCTCTCACCTCGTCTCCAGGATCTGCTGGCGGATGGTCTTGACGTACTCAAAGCTGTCAAAGCAGCAGATGTCGTAGACCAGGATGTAGGCGTGGACGCTCCGGAGTCCCCTGCAGCAGGCGTCTGCCCACTCCTGCAATATCCCCAGCCAGTACCAAGGTCAGAGCAGCCATGAGGGCTCCCCTAGCCCCCAGACATCTCCCATCAGAGGGGCAGTGCTCTCACCTGCCACTGCACCTGAAGCCTTCCATACCTGCTCATCCCCAGGAGACCAGGCCCAGGGAGAATGGAGGAGCTGTAGCCTCCCCATTCCCAAGCCAGGATGGAGCAGGTCACATTGTTTGACCTTTGTGCACATCTGGAACTTAGTTCTGCCCTGCTCCATTTTGTCCCCTCATCCATCCATCGAGGCCTTTTTTCAACAAGTACATTTATTAAGTATCTCTTAAGAGTCCAGCTCTGAGCTGGGTGTCGGACCTGTTAAAATTCTATCTTCCAAGGCTCAGCTGAAGTGCCACTGCCTCCAAGAAGCTTCCTGATTTCCCATCCTTCCTGCAAGCAGGGGACTACTCCCTTCATCTCCTGTGTTCTAACAATCCTTCGATTACACTTTCATTAGAGCTGTTCCATCTCCATTTCCCCACTTCTGCTGTGAGCTCCTGAGAGGGCCACAGCCAGGCTGTCCTCATTTTTATATACTCCCTCTTCCTCTCTGAGTGTCAAAGCAGGTGCTCCTTAATGCCACTACCTGGGCTGGTGAGCTCTCCGTAGCCCCATCTGGGATCAATGCAACTCCTGCCTCTGCCACTGCCCTTAGACTGCTACCTTCTGTATGCTCATCTCTGCCCTCAGGCTTGAGAAACAGAAAAAGATTCGGACTGGATGCATAATGGGCTGACGTAGAGCAGGGCCCCAGGGAAGCTCCAGGGAGATGAACTTCCTGAATGTTTGTGCAGCTTCTCAAGGGATTGTGGGGTACAGCTCAAGATGAAGAGACTCCTAGAAAGGCCAAGTACACTAAAGAGAAGTTTCCTTAAGAGATTCATTAGTCAACGTGCCAGTAGTTACAACTGCAAGGGTGGTTTCAGGCAGCCAGTGTGTGGAAAGAAGTGGGTCCCTAAAGTTGGGGGACAGAGGCCCCCAAGGACAAAGGAAACCAGTCTTCTCCCACCAAAGCTCAGGCAAAAGACTAGAAGAAGGTGGAGGTATGTCTCCTGTCCCAGCATCTGAGTCAAGTGGGGCAGGGGCCAGGCACAAAGGAGGACTACAGTTCTCCACTTCCAAGAAGGATCAAAAGGAAATGACTTTGGTGGCAGTAGTGCAGAGTTAAGTCCAACTTCAGAACAGCACTTCCCAACTCAAAGGCTTAGAAGATGCTGCAGTGGATTTCCCCAGGGAGATGATGTGGCATCTTTTCTTTGTGCTGAGGTTTACATTTTTGGTGCACCAGGAGGATGCTGAGGACAAACCTAAAACCATAGGAAACTGAACTGGTTTCTTAGGCCAGGGAAGACTGCATTCTGCTACACACAGTGATCTCCAGGAGCCAGGAACCTGTGCATACAGATGCTCCTCTGATCTCCCAAGACGAGTGGAGATCAATGAGAAGTGGGAGGGATGAGAGGCTCCCAGTCTCTTCAATCTCTCTGCTGGGGAGAGGGAGCAGCTGCCAGCTTTTGAGGGTGACAGGCCCACCTCTCCCCCAACATGTTGCCTCCTTGAGGGGACCTCCTGGCTTCCTCCCACCCACTCCTCTCTGCGGGTTCCTAAAAGAGAGAGGAGGAAGGCCCCTGATTGGTTAGCTTGTCCCTTCCCCCTTGATTGAAGGGAGGAAGCAGGTTTCCAAACTGTAAAAGGTCATCTTGGGGCTGTGTCAAAACAGAGAAGGAGCAATGGAAAGGGAGTCCAGTTTCAGGGACATGCAGTCTGAGAGAGGCTCAGTCACCTGCGTCTCAACCATGCATTTGCTGATAATTCCTTTGGTGGTTTGCAAGCACCTGATAATCTCAGCTTCCTTCTCTGATTGAAGGGGCTGCAGAAGACACTGAGGCTCACATCCAGGAAACACTACTCTCCTGGGCTCTATCTCATCCGGCATTGGAGAAGAATGTATTACTTTATTTTCAGATGGTGGCCATCAGGAGTCTTAGGTTTTATACTTAATCTTTGGCACCTCGAGGATCCCTTTTTCACAGCATTTCTCTGCCGAAAGTCCCTTACTGGGCTCCTTGAGTGAAATCTTGGATATTCTAGAGTCCAAAACTCAGAGTCAGTCAAGAAGAAAAAAGCCAACAACCCAATAGAAAAATGGGCAAAGGACATCAATAGTTCTTGAAAAAAGAAACACAAAGGCCCTTACACCTATGAAAAGATGCTCAATTTCACTCATGATCAGAGATGCAAATGGAGACTACAAGGAGAATATCACATCTCATCTCTCAGATTGTCAAATATACTGTCAAAAGTCTGACAATATACTCTGATGGCAAGACTGCAGGAAAACGGGCTCTCATATACATTGCTCACAGGAGCACAGCATACACCACTGCTATAGAGGGCAATCTGGAAATAATCTCCCCTCAAAACTCCAGTTACAGTCACACTTTTTTTTTTTTTTTTTTTGAGACAGGGCCTCACTCTGTTGCCCAAGTTGGAGTGCAGTGGCACTATCTCAGCTCTCTGCAGCCTCAACCTCCCAGGCTCAGGCGATTCTCCCACCTCAGCCTCCCAAGCAGCTGGGACCACAGGCATGGACCACCATGCCCGACGAATTTTTTGTATTTTTGGTAGAGATGGGGTTTTGCCATGTTGCCCAGGCTGGTCTTGAACTCCTGAGCTCAAGTGATCTCCCCACCTCAGCCTCCCAAAGTGCTGGGATTATAGGCTTGAGTCACCTCACCTGGCTCTGTATTCACCATACCATTTCCAGGCATTGTGATCCAGCAATGCCATTTCCAGCAATGCCATTTCTGGGAATTAATCCCACAGATATACCTACTTACGTTCAAAATGACTTATCTACAAGGCTATTCATTGTGGCACTGTTTGAAACAGCACAAGACTGGATATCACCCACTTGTCCAACAAGAAAGGACTCCATGGAGGCCGGGCGCGGTGGCTCACGCCTGTAATCCCAGCACTTTGGGAGGCCGAGGCGGGCGGATCACAAGGTCAGGAGATCGAGACCATGGTGAAACCCCGTCTCTACTAAAAATACAAAAAATGAGCCGGGCGCAGTGGCGGGCGCCTGTAGTTCCAGCTACTCGGGAGGCTGAGGCAGGAGAATGGCGTGAACCCAGGAGGCGGAGCTTGCAGTGAGCCAGGATCGCGCCACTGCACTCCAGCTTGGGCGACAGAGCGAGACTCCGTCTCAAAAAAAAAAAAAAAAAAAAAAAGAAAGGACTCCATGGTACAGCTCTTCAATGGAGCAGGGTGTGGCCACGAGGAAAGAACAAGGAAGTCCTCTAGATAACAGCCTGGAAAAATCTCCAGGTTATAATAGCAAGTTAAAAAAAATTGAGGTACAGCGCCAAGCATAGTGGCTCACATTTGTAATCCCAGCACTTTGGGAGGCCAAAGCAGGATTGCTTGAGGCCAGGAGTTCGAGACCGGCTTAGGTAACACAGCAAGATCCATCTATACAAAAAATTTTTAAAATAAAATCAAGGTACAGAACAGTATGGTTCTTGTTTTTGTTTTGTTCTTTTTTTTTTTTTTTGAGATGGAGTCTCGCTCTGTCGCCCAGGCTGGAGTGCAGTGGCGCGATCTGGCTCACTGCAAGCTCCGTCTCCTGGGTTCACGCCATTCTCCTGCCTCAACCTCCCGAGTAGCTGGGATTACAGGTGCCCGCCACCACACCCGGCTAATTTTTTGTATTTTTAGCAGAGACGGGGTTTCACCGTTTTAGCCAGGATGGTCTTGATCTCCTGACCTCATGATCCCCCCGCCTCGGCCTCCCAAAGTGCTGGGATTACAGGCCTGAGCCACCGCGCCCGGCCTCCATTTTGTTCTTTATGTAAGAAGCAGGGAAGAATGCATTTTCTTACTTGGGTAAAGAAACACTGAAAGTATGGATAAAAATCTGATAAGAGGCCAGGCACGGCGGTTCATGCCTATAATCCCAGCACTTTGGGAGGCCTAGGCAGGCGGATCACTTGAGGTCAGGAGTTCGAGACCAGCCTGGCCAACATGGTGAAACCCCGTCTCTACTAAAAATACAAAAATTAGCTGGGTGTGGTGGCAGGTGCCTGTAATCCAGCTACTTAGGAGGCTGATGCAGGAGAATCGCTTGAACCCAGGAGGCAAAGATTGCAGTGAGCCGAGATCATGTCACTGCACTCCAGCCTGGGCGACAGCGGGAGACTCCATCTCAAAAATAAATAAATAAATATATTTTAAAAAAGAAAGAAAAATTCGATAAGAATGGTTATAGAGAGTGGGGCAGGAATCAGGGTAAAAGGGGCAAGATGAAATAAACAAAGGTCAGTGTCTAGGCTTGGAGCAAGATTTGAATGTCCAATCAGGTGATTGTTAAAGTCTCCTTTAGAAGAGAACTAGAAGGCCCTGTGCCCAGACCGTTTGCCCTGATAGGCTCAGCCTCACTGCTTCCAGGGCAGAGGCGGGATCAGGCTTCCATCTTGCTGCTGACCCCAGGCGCCTGGGATGGGTGAACGGGTGTCTCCGGCAGATTATGCCAGGGCCCTCCTGCCTGGTGTTGCTGAGAGTGCTGAGTGCCGAGCTGCCCGCCAGCTCCCAGCCCAGGGTCGCAGCCTGAGAGACTGCTTTATTTGCTCCGTTACACCTGGACAAGCCTTGTCTCCTGCCTTCTGGGTCTCCACCACTGTGCCTGTCCTTCCCGGAAAAGCTCTGTACACTCTGGTCAGAGGCTTCCTTCAGTGAGCAAACACGTCTTAGAGCTCAGCTTCCTTTTTCTCTCCACTCCCTCTCGAGTCAGAGATTGAGAGAGGGCAAGAGGACCTGGTTCCAGCAGGCAGTGGGGAAGGAACACAATCAGTGAGGACCCTGGGGGCATTTAAATCCAAACCTGGCAGGGAGGGTACCCAGCAGGCAAGTTCTGAGGTCAGGGGCAGAGCATCACTTAAGAGAAGAGGGCCTTGGGCAAGAGAGCAGACTGGGGTCTCCAGAGTCTCTGAGAACACACCTTTCCCAGGGCCCTGTCTATTCTGCTGCTGTCCCTTCTCCAGGGGACGTGGAGTGAGGCTATGGTAGGCACAGCCCCGAATACTCACTGCAGCCTAGTGTTCCCTGCCCTTTTCTCTACTGCCTCTTACCTGCCTAAAACCTACTTAGTTGAGACATCACCCTCTGTGACCCCCCAACTCCACCCCAACACATCTGGATGACCTGGATGCCCCCTTAAGGGCTGCTCCAGCTCCCTGCTCCTCCAATCATAGCACTTATCACACCATGTAATAGTTGCCTGTTAGCCTTTTCTCACCAGACTATGAGTTTCTTGAAAGCAAATTCCATAAATTGTTTGCTCACCATTCTGCACCAGTGCCCACTGCAGGGCCTGGCACACATTAAACGGTCATCAAATATTTGTTGACTAAACTAGTACACCAGTGAATGAATTCCTGGAACGACTCTAAGCACGGTGGCCCAAGGTGCAGTGTGGAGCTCTCAAACTCAGTGACGCGGCCCTGGCAATAGGGCCCGAGCTACAGCAGGTTGGAATCCAGGCTCTCCCCTACCCCTCCATTTCCCCACTAACCCATGCCCCCCAGGGTCCTCCTACCTGGAGCGTATTGACAGGGAAGGCGCTGATGGGCGGAAAGTCGAGGATCTGGAGGTCGTGCACGTGGCCGTTCATGACGACAGCAGGCAGGTAGAGGCGGCGGGCGGTGGTGGGCACGCAGACCTCGCTGAACTCGTTGTACAAGAACTGGCGCACGATGGCACTCTTGCCCACACCTCGCGCCCCCAGCACGGCCACCCGGTAGGTGGAGACCATGCCTCCCGCCCCACTCCGCCACCTCGTCCTTGCCGCTGTCTGGGGCTCCCCCGGGCTGCATATTCCAGGGGCTGGGGGCTCAGCCACCGTCAGGACCAACCATTGCTGCCTCTGCTTGCCCTGGGCCCTCTGCGGCCTCCACCTGGACTGTGGGGACAAGAGGTGGGCTTAGTGCACCAGCTTATCCCTGGACATGTCCTGCACTTTTCCACGTTTGGGACTTTGCTCAAACTGTTACTGCCACTTGGAATGCCTTCCCTTTCCCAAAACCCCGGTGGCCACCTATCCAAAACCTCTCCATCCTTCCTCCATTTTTCCCTGCATTCCAGTAGTAGGACCCAATCTTTCTTGACTTATGACCTGACTTTTCTCCAGGTCCAACTCCAACCAAAACAGGCTGCAGAGCAGAGTGGGAAGGGCACTGGACTTGGTTTGATCCCAGCTTCCCCACAGAGCCTGGGATAAGACCGCAACACCTCTGAGTCTGTGTCCTCCTGAGTGGCTGGGACTGGGCGGGTGTGTCTCAGTGCCGGCACTCCTGACGTTTTGTGGGGAGAGAACTCGATTGTGCAGGACTGCCCACACATCGCAGGACATTTGCTTTCCATGGCTCCCAAGAGGTAGCTGCCAGCAGCAGCCTCCAGACACCACGATGACCAAAAACTCCCCCTCCCCCCATTTCCAAATGCTCCTAGTTGAGAATTCTGCACTAGATGACCACGTTGCCTCTGGGGTGCAACACTGCTGAGCACTTACTCTGCTGGCATGCCCATATGGGTATCCTTGGTCAGTACGACATCTCTGAAGGATAGGTACTGTTATTCCCACTTTAGAGACAAGCTTAGAAGCAGTAAGAAGTGTGTCCAATCACAACCCGAAGGGCAGCTACTCCTTTCTATGATGTCGCAGTACTTCTTCCAACTTTCAAGCTCAGTGATTCTTTTTTTTTTTTTTTTTTTTTCAGACAGAGTCTCACTGTGTCACCCAGGCTGGAGTACAGTGGCATGATCTCGGCTCACTGCAGCCTTCACCTCCCAGGTTCAAGCCATTTTCCTGCCTCAGCCTCCCAAGTAGCTGGGATTACAGGCATCTGCCACCACACCCGGATAATTTTGGTATTTTTAGTAGAGATGGGGTTTCTCCATGTTGGCCTCGATCTCCTGACCTCAGGTGATCTACCTACCTCGGCCTCCCAAAGTGCTGGGATTACAGACATGAGCCACCGTGCCCGGCCAAGTTCAGTGTTTCTAATCGATGAATGCATACAGGCCAAGGTCTGGGTCTCATTTTCTGGCATCCCCTAGAGCCCAGAGGGCCTGGCACATATTAGGTGCCCAGAAAAGGGCTGCTGGGGGTTGGCCTTGATATGAATTCATTAGCTCCTTGCCTGCCCAGTTTCAGTGACTTTAGGGCCTGGGTATAACTCTCAGCTCTGGTGTGTCCTTGCTGCATGTCAGTGGGCAAATCACCTTCTCAACTGGAGCCATGCTTCTGCACATAGGTACAATGAGGTAAACAGCCCCTATTTCTGAGAAAATCCACGTAAATCTCTTAGCCAGGAAAAGGAACCTTTCTTCTTTTGTTGGTGATAGTGACCAAAGAGGCTGTTACATGCCTGAGACCTCCTGTCTGGATTCCCAGGAGGGTGACATCAGCACTTGCTAACTGCGTCCAGGGCAGGTGGATTCGCTGGATTCTGGCAAGGCCATGCTTTTCCTCATGGGTGCGTACTTTTCTGCGGATGCATGTCCTTTCCACACATGCACAATCCGTAGCTGAATGTCCCCCAGGTTGTCCTGGTTCAGAGGACTCACTCCACAGGGTATGTGCGCACACAGCATAGTAAATAAAGGTCAGGATGTGGAGTGAGAACAACTAGGGCTTGATTCCTAGCTCTGCCATTCACCTGAAGTGTGACCTTGGGCAAGAAACTTTAACAGAGTGTTATGATGTGTGCATGTAAAGCCCAGGGCCTAGGCCAGCATAGGTGTTCAATAAACAGTGATCACTGCTATGGGCAGGGGTCCTTCATTCATCTAAGTTCCCCACAAATTTAGCAATGGCACCTCCTAGCAATCCCAGGAGGGCTTGCTATCTACTGTTGCATGAGCTCACATGCATGCAGTGTGTGTGAGAGATTCTTCTCATTTTATTGAAGATTTAAGAAACAAACACATTCCAAAACAAACCCAGTGACTTGGGGAAGTGAAGACCTCATAGCCAGTCAGTTAACTAAGATTAGGACCCTAAACTCCTTCCTGCCCCATGCAGTGTCCCTTCTCCAACAGGTGTTTATACACTTACATGGGCTCCCAACTAGGGGGAAGTACCTATCGCTCCTTCCTATATGTCCCTCCAGGTCCGAAGCCCCTTAGGCATCCCTGGACACCACCAGCATGGCAGAGAGACTCAGCTGGGTTAATTACATAACCAGCACAGGCAGGTGGGGAGTGGGGAGTCCTAGGGGAGTAAGAGAGGGCAAGGAACGCCAAGAGGAGTCCTGGCATCTCTCTGGGTGTGGCAGCTCAGAGGTTTCCAGGATGCATCCTACCTGCAGACTGTCCCGGACACCACACTCCCTGCCCAGAAACCAGCCCTTTCTGGGGAGTGGCAGGGAAATGCAAGAGGGGCACTGCCCAGGAGCTAGGGAAGGGGCGCAGGAGGCCCCTAGGCTGGGGCCAGCCTCCTGGAACTCACCAGGCCCAAGTGTGGCCCTGTCCCCAACTCAGAAGCGATCGGTGCCCCTTCCTTCTTTCCAGGCAGAGGTCCTGGATCTAAGAGTATATTCATCCAACACCCTTGGCTGGGTGCGGAAGGGAGGGGGCTGTCCCAAGAAGCAGGGCCCAGGCCCCTGAGCGCTTTCTCCCCAAGGCCTGCTCTCTGCAGTGAGTCTGCAGACAGCGCCCGGTAAGAGACCGCCCGGCAAGAGAGGCAAGAGACCAGAGACACACAGAGGGGGCAAAGCCTAGTTCCGTCCCCTTCCCTGCGCCTGGACAGCTGGGTCGCTGCCCAAGACTGACAGCGGGGGCTTCGCGGATCCAGAGGGCCGGGTCACAAGTCTGCCAGCTGTTTGTTCCAACCACGTTCGCCTGGGGGTGGGTTAGGGGGCGACAGAGGATGCTGCGCTCCCCATGACCTGATTGGTAGGAGTTTGGGGGGGATGTAGAAGCCCAGCTCGCTCTCCGCCTCCAGCACCTTGCAGGCACCCCCACCCCCAGCTCCAGCTCTCACGTGGCGGCCCCGCACCGCTTCCCCGCCAGCCCGCCGGCCCCCTCCTAGTCCCGGACTCCCTTCGCCCCGGCCGTCTCCTCCTCCCCCGACCCCGGCCCGACTCCCCCAGCCCCTGCCCCGGCCCCGCTCCACCCCTGACCGCTTCCCCTCCTCCCGCCGCTTACCCGGGGCCGTCCTAGCTGCCCCCTGCCCTGGCCGGCCGGTCGGCGGGGCTGCGCTCCCCCCGGGCTCTGGCGCTGCCCCCCGGCTCCCCCGCCCGGGGGGAGAGAAGTGGGGGCGCCCCCGCCTGCCCAGTCGGGGCGGGCTCAGGGCGGGCGCGCGGGGGCAGATGCGGGCCGCCGAGGGGGTAGGAACCTCCAGCCCCAGCTCTCCCTCCGGAGCGCGCCGCCCGCTCGCGCTGGAAGGAGGAGGGGGGCGGGGGTGCGGGCTGGCATTCCGCTGGGTCCCTGAGCCTGACATATTCGCTAGGGCGGCCCTGGATGAATTCTTTAATCCCTGGCCTCGACCTTCACACCCCTCCAGACTCTCCCTGCGAGAATTTAGCTCTAACCTGGAAGAGATGAAGAAAGGCATGGGAAAGCCCTCAAGGCCTTTGCTTCATTCCGACTCTTGGCCTCATATGCCCCTGGCCCAGGCCTGTAACCAGGCCACTGTGTGCCCTGCACTGTGTGCCCTGCACTGTGTGTTAGAGACATCCAGGCTCTGCTCTTCCAGCCTCCTCAAGGGCTGAGCGAAGGGTGATCACTCTCACCCTTCACTGACGCAGTGAAAGGCAGAGCTGGCTGGCACAAAGCAAGGTCTCCCCTGCCAATGGGTGACCTCCATACCCCTAAAACTACCATAGGTCTCTTCTCGCCAGAATGGGAGATACCAGCGTTTGTCAGGATTGAGGGCAAAATCACCCAGGTATTTATTCTAACACTCATCATCGTCTAACCTTTGATGATCAATGTCATGTCATAATCAATGTCATCACTGATAGGCAACCTCTATTTTGCCGGTGTGCTACGAGCTTTGCATGCACCCTCAGATTGAATCCTCACGATTCTATGGGGTAGATTGTTTCCCCTACTTCACTGATGAGATAGTTGAGGTTCAGAAGCTTGTCTCACTTAGATGTAAAATGTGAATACAACGATTGAGAGTCACTAGCTGAGCAGTCACTGATGAGTTTGGTATGAGGCTCACAGTCCAATGTGACACCAAAAGCAGATACACAACATTAAAATGTGCTGTGTGCAAAGTCAAGGCTCTGCAGAGGGCAGGGGAAGTGGGACAACTCATTAGAGAAGTCACTGAAGCTTCGCAGGAGGCAACTTTCAAGGAAGCAACCTTGAAAGAAGTAGATTTTGGGGGCTAGGGGGAGGGAGATTGTAGCAGAAGAAAGCTACAGAAGTTAGCTGGGCGCGGTGGCTCACGCCTGTAATCCCAGCACTTTGGGAAGCTGAGGCGGGCGGATCACGAGGTCAGGAGTTCAAGACCAGCCTGACCAACATGATGAAACCCCCGTCTCTACTAAAAATACAAAAATTAGCCAGGCATGCTGGTGCGCACCTGTAATCCCAGCTACTTGGGAGGCTGAGGCAGGAGAATCACTTGAACCTGGGAGACAGAGGTTGCAGTAAGCCGAGATCAGGCCTCTGCACTCCAGTCTGGGTGACAGTACAAGACCCTGTCTCAAAAAAAAAAAAAAAAAGAAAAAGAAAAAAAGAAAGCTACAGAAGTCAAGAGCAATTACATAGGCTTGAGAAGTGAGTCTGGGAACCAGACAGGAGCCCACAAGGCTGGAAGCATGGTGGGTGAAGAGGCCAGAAGTTGGTCACAAAGGCCCTGATTGACAGGATGAGGAGTTCAGATCCAGCCCTGTGCTACACAGGAAGTCATTGATGAGGTTTTTTTTTTTTTTTTTTTTTTTTTTGAGATGGAGTCTTGCTCTGTCACCAGGCTGGAGTGCAGTGGCACAATCTTGGCTCACTGCAACCTCTGCCTCCCGGGTTCACGCGATTCTCCTGCCTCAGCCTCCAGAGTACAGGCACGTCCCACCACACCCAGCTAATTTTTGTATTTTTAGTAGAGACGGGGTTTCACCATCTTGGCTGAGACGGTCTCAATCTCTTGACCTCAGGTGATCTGCCCGCCTCAGCCTCCCAAAGTGCTGGGATTACAGACATGAGCCACTGCACCCGGCCCTATGGAAGGTTTTAAAGCAGGGAAAGCGCCTGATCAAATTGCATTTTAGAGCCTCCAGGGCAGGAGGAGGAGCAGGAGCACGAGAGATATCCCAACTGTTTTTACCCCGGGACCCTGCATCCTCCACTCTGACTTCCTATTATCGTGTGCTCCCAAACAGAACTCAGTTTTCCTCCACACTCTGACCTCTGCATTTTGGGCACCCTCCCAATTCCTCCCTTCCTTCTCCTGTTCAGTCACAGAGGAGAATGGGTATGAGCCTGGGCTTCAGTATCAGACAGAGCTGGATTTCAATCTTGGCTCTGCCACTTGCTGTTGTAACTGAGGCAAGTAACTTGAAGTCTATAGTCTCATTTATTAAAAGGAGTGTGATTAGTTGTCCCTCACTGTTGTTGACAGGGTGTAGATGAGCTGAGGTGTGTAAAGTCCTTAACACAATGCCTGGCATGTAGGAAGTCTCAGCACGGGGCCTTTATTTTTTGCCTTTTTTAGGGACACGCAGGCATCCTAGGGGAAGATGAGCATCACCGTGGCACAGCGGTTGCATTTATTCTAGGTAGGCTCCCAGAGGGTTGGGGTGGAGGTATGAAAGGACCAGGGCAGCAGCTAGAAGCAAATATAGGGCTGGAATGAATTTGGCTTCCTCCTGGAACACCACTTTTGGGGAGAATAAATCAGATTTTAACTGGCCCTGTGGGATCACATGGGGTCGCTAAAAGCCTCTTGATTGCATCACTTATCCCTCCACTGTATCTGAAAATCTCTAATCCTCACCCTGCCCGAGGATCCCAGGCTTTATGTCTGCTCCCCCAGGCTGTGGCCCTCCATTCCGAAGGTGGACTAGAAGGAATAAATTAAAATACACTGGGCGCAATGGCTCATGTCTATAATCCCAGCACTTTGGGAGGTCAAGGGGGGCAGAATATTCGAGCCAAGGAGTTCAAGACCAGCCTGGGCAACGTGGTGAAACCTCGTCTCTAAAATACATACAAAAACAGCCAGGCGTGGTGGTGTGCACACCTGTAGTCTCAGCTACCTGCGGGGGATCACTTGTGCCTGAGAGGTCAAGGCTGCAGTAAGCAGTGATAGCGCCACTGCACTAGGGAAACACAAAGCCATAGGTTAATTATGGGACCTCATACTGGCCTTCAGTGAAAGGTCATTTAAAGGATTATTTTTATTTAAAAAAGCAAACAGCAATTCCATCTACATAAAGTGGAAGATTTGCCCGAAGTTAGGATACAGATGTCATCTTGGTTTGCTGAGAGTCACTTTGGCCTAAGAACATGCACCCCTAGGGGCCTGTTCACTCTCCCCTATCATTAGGAGCACTTTGATGGGAACATGTGAAAAGACTCTGTACTTGGGTCTGACCTTGAGCCTCAGGTGGGTCTGGCTCAGCTGAGGATGCCTGTTGGCTGAGGTGCAAACTCAGGGAGCAGACACATGAGACCGCCTGCAGTAGCTGAGGCCCACACACGAAGTGGGATAGAAGTGTCAAAGACCCAAACCTGCCTACCTCTGCCCCTGCTCCATCATAGCTGAGGATCCTACTGAGCTTTTAGAGGCTATTTGGCCAGATCCTGGGGTTTCCGACCATAAGTGAAGAGTAAATGAAACAAGGGAGGGTGAGCCAAAGGCTGGACTTGAGCATCATCCTCTAACATCTACCCGGTGGGAGAAGTGGGATGAGTGGAGTAATCCCAGCCCCAAAGCATTGAGAAATGATCCCAGAGATGGCAGTCTTGTCTCAAAATGATACTTTTGGAAACAGTCCTTGCAAGCACTTTTCCAGCTGAGAATCTGGGTCTAACCAACCCCCAAATTAGCCTTCCCTTTGTTGGCAGCATCAAGCACGGCAGGGCAAAAGCTAAATGAGAAACTGAGATGGTAAGTTTGGAGCCAACTCGGAAACTTTTCAAGAAACATCCTTGTTGCTAATAACATGTCTGAGGGCTGGTTGGGATTCTAGGATTAGTGTTCAGGAGATAGAATTGGGTAACAACGGGGGAGGTGTGATCTTTTCCAAGTGCCATACCAGGTATTAAAATAAACAGGCTCTTGCCTCCTGGAGCTGGGGGTGGCAGGGAAAAAGAATCTGGGTCTAAGCAAAACCAGAAAAAGCATTAATGCATGAAGTGGGAGTAGAAAGCCCAAACCTGCGAGTCCTCAGCTGTTTTCTGACCTCAGAAACAATGTACCTGAGATCTCAGTGTTTCCTAGTTGTCACTTTACAGGCAGAGAAAGACAGTGTAATCTCAGGTGCAAGTCTGGGGCCAGTGTGCTCTGAACATACTGGTATCCTGGGGGCTCAGCAAGGTGGGATGCGGCTGAGAGCAGAGGTAGGAGAGAACCTATTACAGAACC